GGGATTGTTTTGGGTTGCAAGCGAACTATATAGGGCCCTGGTCAATCCGGAGAAGGGTTGTAAAAACTCAATCCTCAAGGGGACATGGTTATGTTCCGTGCTGAGATCCCATCCCCCCCTTTTTGGCGATGTTGGCGACCACCGTGGGGTTTTAGTTGTGAGTGGAATGGTCCGTGCGATTTCGATATATTCCGATTTTGGTCCCCATTGAGTCGGAATACGCGTAGGCGTTACCCACTTAAAAGAATTAGTGTAGATGAACCTTGGCAATATCTCATCATCGGGTAAGGACAGCTGCCTCTCCCCCTACTAGAGAAACGACAAATGAAAATACATATAAAAGTATAATAAGATATGGGTTTCTTCCCATGATTTGAATGTTTTAGGCCTCGTACTAAACGAACATTATATTTGTAAAAACCACGACAGCTTAAAGTTATGTTACCGGTAATTAGTGATAACTAGAAATAGTATACTGTACCTAGGAAAATGATGTTTCAAAGATTCTTAAATAAACACATGTCCTGGTCGTTGTACACATTTCTTTGGAATTGTATAGTACGCCAAAATCGCAGTAGGCAATGTAATAAAGTAATGTTTTCTATTTAAAATTTTATTTCTAATAATTTCATATAATAAATGAAATTGAAAAATTAATATTGACAAGTAATTTACATATTTAATTGATTTGTGCATGTTTGTATTTATGCATACAATTCTCTTTATATCAGGAGGAGCGCTGCACTTGGCTGCGGCGGCCGCAGTCGCTGGCGCTACCCTCCGCACCACTCTCCGACATAGAATGGTAAGTTTCCACTATAAGGAGAGTGGATTTGACAGTGTATGAAACATATAGGAAGGGGAATTTCTTATGATCCTTTTTATCTGCGTCCTCCTCCGTCGATCAGACAATGCATCCGCATTAGGCGATTTTAGGTAGCCGCTAGCTTATTTGCCACCTAATAAGATAAAAAAAATTGTTGATTCTTGTTTTTTTTTTAAAAATTGATATTTTTCTAGTTTTTTCCGCAGTAAACTATTAGAATCTTGTTTAGAAAGATCCAACAGTATTGATAACAGAAAAAATTAACCTTTTTTTATTTCAGCAATAAAACGAATGACGTGGTCGCCATAGACATAGAGCGTACGGAATCCATCATAGAGGATAGAGCGGACGCGACCACAGACACGCAAGAACGAACACTACTCGTTGATTGATGAATACACGCTTATTGCCAACGTTATTGGGGTTATATTTGCAAAGCAGAGCTTACACGGATTTATTCCAATGTTGATGTAATTTTTTGCATTTTTCTATATAAGCTTAATGTACCTATTGAAGAATATTTCATGACAAACAGTTTTATAATACATAAAGACGTCATAATATTTGTCTTTGGAAGTTGCTATAAAAATAGACTAAAATCGCGTAAACATAGATTTTTTTCATTATTGTTTATTAGTACACAAAATAATGTTTTGTTCATAAATAATCTTTAATAGGTACAAAATTTTTTGTGCATTTTTAAATAATAATTACAATTGGTGAGTGACCTATTGGAACGTTTTCGCTTTGGCTGTGTCGAAAAAGACATCTAAATTAGTCTATGGTTTAGAAAATTTTGTTAAACCAAACGATAGAAATATTTAAAAACATAAGTACACCTTAATTAATTTAAAAAAAATTCTAATTTGGATTTTTTACTTTATTATTTGTGACAGTATAATCTGTTACGTCGTCAAGGTATTCTTGTCTATGGTTGAAACTAATCATTCGATTTTTTATCTATGTTTTGGATTTCTTTTTAATTTCTTTATAAGCACATGACCGAAATAAACACATTTAATATTAGCTATAAGATTTAATTTATTGTTTTTAATAATTTTTTTAGTGTAGTAATTTTCACAATAGACCAAAAGTCACAATGTTAGTTACATAGTTGATTGTTTTTATATACTTAACATGTAGTGAATAGGAATTTAGTATCACAGCTTATATAATAATTATATTTTTTTACAGATAACACCAAATAACTTTTTTAATCTTATTAAATTATTACTTATTTTTTTTATTTAAACAACAGAAGTACATGAATGCAATAGATATAAAATAATTAGTTACTAGTATAAATATTATTACAAATCTAGTAAAAATCTTGACTCCCCCAATGGTTTATTTCCACTATTTTCTTAATTTGTATAAAACGTAATTTACTCTATGGTCCCCGATTAATACAAAGAAAACCTTACTTGCCTTATGGTTGTTAAAATTGAAACGAATTTTTATTAGTAAAATTCATTATATTTTTCATACATTTACATTTAACATTACCCATTCACACTGCCATTTTACTCTTAAAAAAATATATCTAAAAACATTTCAGAAAGTATTTTTCACTCGTGTATTTGAGTTTTTATTTAAAATAATAAAGCTCTGATAATGCCTGTGCTCTATTCATGTTTAAAAATGTAATATCCGGCTCGAAGGACCATTTTGAAATTAACATTTCTGTATCCAATTTTAATAATTTCTCGCTTTGTATTGTTATTTAATTTAATGATAAACATTTTATCAATAATTAGGACTTAATAGAATTAATTTAATATTGACACCCAGAATTGTTAAATGGTCCCTGGGGGCCACATTTGTATGAGAAATTACTCTGAATCTCTACACTACGCTTGTATAGTTTGTATTTCTATTGGTTTATGTTTTATTCGAGAATATTGATCATTTGATTTCAAATATTATCGAAATAAGGAATTTATACATGTAAAAACATTATAAGCAAAAAGCAATGGTTGATTTTTATTTGAACTTTTCTCGCTTCTTGAATTTTGAAAAAAAAAACACAGAATGTCAAAGTTCATACATGGCGTTCATTAGGCTAATTTTATCATTTATTTTGTGAAAGTAAAGTGAATTGATAGAGATAGTCATACATATAATAAAATTGGTGTGTTTGTATGGAATATTGAAATAGAAACATTCTTGAACATGATGTATTTGCATTGCTGTTAAAAAAAATATTTATTTCTTGTCTGCAAGCCTCGTTTGTTGAGGAGAATCTCTGGAATAAAATTGGAACTGTGTTAACTTTGCCCACCCTATATGATTAGGGTCGTAATAGATTTTTATATTTGAAATCAAATGATCATATCTCGGAATCTCTTATAATATCTCCTAGTCATTTTTAACAACGTCATTTCATTGTTTTGTGCAATTGGTTTGTCTGAATATTGACTGCGAAGCTAAGGGTATTGTGATGTAGAAGTAGTATTGATTTTAAATTTTAAGCCCTTTTTATCTCTATTCATGTGATTTTTTGTATTATTTTTTTTAAAACATTCCTTTATCCCTATATTTGTTTTGCAAGTATCTTGTACATTGAATAAGTACATAAATATCTTAAATAATGATAATTATTTTAATTAAGGAAAAAAATAATTTCAGTGAGTATTTTTGACTTATTTTATTAAAGTGATGTTGATTTCCGAAAATAGATTTAATAAGAAATTTGTAATGAAGCATACAAAATAATTTAAAGACATAATTTTTGAAGGAACATTCAAACAAATTATAGAAAATGTCTTGCAAACATAATGAGAGAGATAGCAATACTATGTTTTCATGTAGAATTTTTTTTATATTATTTTTTGTTAATTAACTGAATTGTGCAATAAAAATGTTCTCAACATCTGTCACAAAGCTTTATATTTTTTGCGTGATCGAATCAAGCTTTTAATTCGCTGTTTTGACAAATTTGCAGCTATATTTACTTGATAAATGAAATCATGTAATAATAAGTATTGTATATTACTAAAGTGTTCAACCCGGCAGACTGAATCGACGATTCCGCGATAATCAACCTTAAAGTTGTTGAAAAAGTGTTCAAATTACATTAACAATACGAATTAACAAAATAATTGATATAAAATTGTAGTAAATTTCTTTATCATAATCGTTATTTTCTTGTACTTACACAGAAACATTGTTGTCTCTTGCGAGAGGAATGGCGATGTTTTTGTAATTGTTTCGTCAGTGTAAACTTGCGATGTATGGAATTGTTGTGAACGTCTGCTCGGATACAAAGATACTTGCCGTCCTTGTATTTCGTCGCCTACCCACCTTATTTGTTGTCCATTACGTTAGAGCCTGTATTTATTATGTTTTATAAAACGATTTTTAAAAGTAAAATATGAGTTTTATTTAATATTATCTTTTACTCGACACTAATATTTTCTTCCAGACTATCTTCTACACCTGTGTCAAATTTCAGCGAGATCCGTTGAGGCGTTTTAGAAATACCTTCCAACAATCATCCATCATATAAACATTTATATTCATTACATTAGTAAGATTTCGAATCTAATTAATCTCCACTGGAACTACAAAAAAGAATATGTTTAAGCAGTTAATACCTATGATTGATGGAGATCTGGTGAATAAAACAAGTAATTTGGTCAAAATCAATTTATTATGTCATATTGTATACTCCCGTACAAAAGTAACCTAGTTATTGGTAAAATTCATTTTATGATTGCGACAACATTACAGTAGTTTTACACTAATTAAAGCTATATTACACTTAACGCTAGTAACGAACATTTTACTGTGGATATCGAGGTGTGTCTGTTTTTGTCAAAGAGTAAGCGGTACGCCCAGGACGCCTGAGGGAAAGGCGCGCCCTAGTTCTGCGATTTACTTTGACTTGCCCACTTTTATCTAAAAAAATCTCGATAAAGCAACACTATTGTATATCACTTATTTAGATTTAAAAAAAAAAACATTGTCTAATATCGCAACCTTGTATATTTCGATTTTCTAGACACTTCATGTGGCCAAATAATTTGATTTAACTTTGCAATTTCTGTCCTTATTTATAAAAGAAATTAGGGAACTTAATACTACATAGTTGAAGATCGATTTCTACCTCAGATGTTTAGAAAAAATTGCGACAAAAAACGTTACTTTCCTTTGTCAAAACACACGTATAAAAACATGTTTTTTACGAGTATTTTGACAGTGGAAATGTGTAATATGATATAGTTTGTTACTTTACTTTTACTTAACAATGGCATAATTAAAAAGTGTACCATAAAAATGGTTTTAATGGAATATTTCTTAGAATAATCAACTTACAAACATACAGTTTTCAGTTTAAATTCTCTGTGAAATTATAGTACCAAAAAACTGCTATTAACGAGTTCATTATAGAGATAAAGAAAATTCTTATAATATGAGAGATAAGAGCTTAACATAATGGCAACATTGACACATCGCAAATAAGTAACATTTTGCCGAATCGAAGATGCATCTCTTACATTTTACTTTTAAAAAAAATTATGCTACATTTGAAAATAATTTAAACATTTTCACGCAATGTCATTCTAATACAAAAAAGGCACGTAAGTCAGTATAATTTGACAAATTTATACATTTTCTGCCAAATAATAATACGTGAAATCACCGAAAAAACTGCCAAAACACATATTTTGTATTCTTTTACTCGTTTAAATACTACATATGGTATAAGTAATTCTATTTCCAAAAAAAAAATCTTGCAATTCGTATTAAAAAACGTTTTCTGTCATATCAAAAAAATTGACATTTAATTATAATTAATTAGTTTATAAACTACCTACATGCGATATGTCACAACTATATTACAATATAGTTGTTTTAATGATGAATGTAAATTACCTTTGCACTTTACTTGTATTTAAATCTTTGGAATTATTATGTTTGCTGTCTTTGATATTAATTACTACAATTCTTTGACTATGAAAATTAAAACATGCTCTTTCTTTGTCTAACTTTAGATTTAGTGTATCTTTGTCCCGCTCGTTCTGAAGTCCGATAACTGTCATAGATTCATGGCCCGCACTAAATACGTTTATTATAAAATTCAAATAGGACTTGTCTAACCCATAGTATAATCAAATTTAACGTTACTAATCACTAGCCGCTAGTTAACCTAATTAAAATAATATTAACAACTTAAGCTACTCATAGCAACAGCATAGTATAAAAAATAGGGCAAATCTAAAATTCATAAAAAAATTACAAAACAAAATCATGTTTAAAACTATAGTAATACGCATTTTTCAAAAAGAGATCATAAAACAAAAACCGACCCCTTTCAACTGTTCGTTTAACACATTTAAAAAAAAATATTGCAAAGCGCATCACTACGTCATACCATAAGACATGTAAGTGCGAGAGAGAACACAATATCGTCTGTACCGCTCACGCACATTGACTGCGGATGCGACAGGGATGTGATTTATTACACTTTAATTTGAAAATTAACTTATTTACCGCTTAAATAGGCCTAATTAGTTTTTTTTTTTTTAATTTGAGCTTCAATTTTAATATTAATTCAAGATTCAAGATTAATACTTCCAATACAAATTCCTTCAATTGTCAATAATTAAATTCTAACCTCCAAATTTCCTTCATATCCTAGCTACAAGAGCACCATGATTTTAAACAATTCTTACACATTAGTTGGGTTCACACAACAAAATTGACATTTCATTATTTCCTCATTACATTTTTTATCACAAACAAACATACAATTACCAGCCAAAAAAGGTTGTAATGTGTGTAAACTTTTTGAATCATTACAATAATTAATAAGCAACTATAATGACCTTGTAATAAAAAAGGGGTTATCAGTTTAAGAGTATAAAAATAGCTTCAAAAATTGATAGCTAAAACATATTTATTTGAGCTCAAAAGAGCTTTAATTTTTGTGGAAAATGAAATACGTTTTTATTGTACTGTCTATTGTACTAAAAATGTAACTATTTAGAATTGTACATTCGGAAAACAAACATACTGTTGGATTGAAATGGATGTTCCTCTGTGGTTGCGTAATGTGTCCAAATATTACTCCATTATATTGTCAGCTATAAAAATTAAAAATACTTATAACTACGTATAAAATATTTATATTCCAATTGAACATTGGAATACATCAGTTGGCATTAATCGGAATATTCCAAGTTAATATTTTAGCATAACATTCCATGTATAAATGGAATATAAACTAAACATTTACGACGTTAAGTAAACATACATTAACGTCAAATGATATACATTTCAACATCACATTTAAGTAAATTATTCCACAGTAGCGTCCCATATTCCACAATTACATCGAAATATTCCACATTTAAATGGAATATTCCGCATTAAAATATCATTATTAATCACAATTTATATATCACGACTTGCAATTTCAACTCAGTTATGTTCGATCGTGATACTTTCCTCTTTTTGGTCACGAAAAAATTTTGACAGCCTCTGTTTTTGTATTTCATTGTAACTATTATTACTGGCCCTCACTTCTTCTAGTAATTTCTTGACAGCTTTGTTATTTGGTGAGATGTTGCTCGCGTGCTTGAGGTCGGCTATGGCCGCCTCGTAGCTGCCCAGAGCGAAGTTACCTTGCGCTCGACGGTACAACGCTTTCTCGTTGTCTGGCTCTACGTTCAGTACCTACACATTTTTTTATGTATCAAAATGCACAACAGTAACATTTTTAACTGATGAGATCTTATTTACATTATTTTAGCAAG